TGGGAAAAAATTGCGTTAATCAATATGCTGCTTTGAACTCCTTTTCTAAAGTAATTTTGCCAAAAGATTCGGTGGGTGTGTTAGTGGATAAGCTTGGTACTTATGATTGGACAAAAGTTCTTAATTGTATAAATCCAAAAGCAGAAAATATCTTTAAAATGTTTTTCAAAGTTTTAAAAGATAACATTTTTTATTTTTCTAAAGTAGTAAAAATTCAGACTGAAAATTCCAAAAAAAATAAAAGTAATGCTTGGTATACTAGTGAGTTAAGAGTTATGAAAGAAAGATTAATTTTTCTTAATAAAATTGTAAAAAATAGTCGAAGTGTTTCAAATGAAACAAAACAAGCATATAATGGGTTAAAAAATCAATATAAGCATTCAATTAAGAAGGCAAAAATAGAATACAACACAAATCTCATAGAAAAAAGTAATAACAGATGTAAAACTGCTTGGCAAGTCATTAAAACCAGTGGCAACTCTTTAATTAATACAAAAAAACCTAAAATATCTCCTGATATTTTCAATACATTTTTTATTGAATCAATTGAAAACATAAAAATGAAAATTGTTAGTAATGCCTACAGTTCAAAAGATTTAGTTAATAAGTCTTCCATTACTCCTGTGCCTTTTTCCTGGAATTTTATCGCACCTAATGATCTAATAAAAGCCACAAAAAAACTAAAAAACTCTAGCAGTAATGATGTTTATCTTATGTCTAATATCCATAGAAAACCGATCCCGACTGAAGGCGACACTGAAAGAATATTATCTCAACCGGATGGTAGTGGCGTGGCGGGATGGCGTGCGTTAGGCTTAGCTGCTGCAAAGAGTGTATGTGTGTGTGACTGTATGCTAGGAAAATAAACGCATGTTATGTTGTTTATTATTAATTATGTTACGAAATGTGTATTTTACTTTTGTTCATATCATGTATTATTGTTATTACTATTATTATTTAGAGGTTAACTGTAAGAAAGGACCATGAGGTCCTAAGTTCGCCTCAATAAAGAAGGATTTTCATTTCATTTCATTTCATAATAGTTTGCTTAAACAGATAATTGGTAATCTAGCTGAACCTCTATCTTACTGCTTTAATCTCTGTCTCCTTGAAGGCGTCTTTCCAGATGAATTAAAGGTCACCAGAGTCTGTCCCATTTTTAAAAAAGGTAAAAAAGACATTCCAGAAAGTTATCGCCCAATATCAATCATTCCTGTAGTATCAAAATTGTTTGAAATCGTGGTCTTTGATCAGCTGAATTCTTTTTTTGAAAGAAACAACTTTTTAAGTGTTTCGCAATTTGGATTTAGAAAGGGCAAGTGTACATCAGACGCAATAGATAAATTGATTAATGAGGTACTAATGGTCTTTGAGAGGAAGTCACTTGCTCAGGCCACTTTTTGTGACCTGAGTAGGGCTTTTGATTGTGTGGACCATGATGACCTGATAATGAAATTAAGTTTTTACGGTATCAACGGAACTCCACTTTCTTTTTTCAAGTCATACTTAAACAATAGAACACAAAAAGTCAATATTGATGGAGACTGGTCCCAAGAATTAAAAATAAAATATGGCGTGCCTCAGGGGTCTGTTCTAGGTCCTCTGTTATTTTTAATTTGTATTAACGACCTCCCAGCATGTATAACTAGTAAAACTTATTTGTATGCAGATGACACAACATTTTTAAATATTAATCCTGATCTTAAACAACTTCAAGAGTTAGCTCAAAACTCAATTAATGAAGCTTCTATCTGGTTTGAATCTAATGGCTTCCTCTTAAATAAAGATAAAACTCAAAAAATTGTTTTTCGCCTTAGACCGTGTGAATTAAATATGTTGGATGGCTATGTAGACAACGTGAAATTTCTTGGTATTTATCTGGATAAGACTCTTTCCTGGGGACCTCATATTGATTACATAAGTTCTAAGCTTTCAAGGGTAATTTGTCTTATGACTAAACTAATACATTGTATAGATCAAAATTATATTAAAACAGCCTACTTTGCTTATTTTCAATCCATTTTTAGATACAATATTATATTTTACGGCAATTGCAGTAGGATAGAGGAAATTCTAGTCTTACAAAAGAAGTTGGTTAGAATTATATCCTATGAACCCCAACAGGAACACTGTAAACCCCTGTTCATTCAGCTACAAATTCCAACAGTGATTGACATTTATTTATTTGACTCTGTATCATACGTTCTAAAAAATCCCAACTTAATCAAACAAATTTCTCATGTTCATTATACTAGGAATAAAAGCGTTGCTGCCATAGATTTTTTCAGACTGTCTAAAACTCTTAAAAGCCATATTGTAATCTCACTAAAAATATACAACAAACTAATACATTTAATACAAAAATATCCTGAAAACACTTTTAAAACAAAATTCTACAGATGGCTTTTGAACAACCCATTCTATTCTCTAAATGAATTTTTTGAAATGTCTGGTATTAATTTTTAAGTAGAGTTAAGAGTTTGCGAATTGACCAAATTATTTACTGTTGGACTTTGTTGGTTATGCGGTTTAATCACTTCCATTATTTTCAATGCCACAAATTTTTCTTAAGATTAAGATTACCTATTCAATTGTAATATTTAAAATGTGTATTGTAAAGTGTCTCATTTTATGTAGTTAGCTATATTGTATCTTACTGTATTTATTAACTGACTATGCTATAAACCTTAGCAGTTGTATGACTTTGTCAATAATTTGTGAAAATTCTAAGGACAATAAACACATTTCATTTCATTCATTTCATTTCATTTCAAACCTGCCGACTAAGCAAATTTCCATTTGTCTGAATTGATTTTCAATTAAATCTATAAATAACATTAGGTTTAACGAGTACCTAAGTTTGCTGCTACAAGGAGACTAGTTAAGTGTGTTTTTTAGTGAAATATTAATAGTTTGGTATAAAATTTAAAAAAATTTCCAAGTTTGATCAAAATATATCCATAAACAAACAAACTACAACATTTTACAATATTCTCCATAAGAATAACATGGGAGTTTTAAATTTAATTTTTTTTTTATTTTTCTCCCTTACCAATAACTGTAAAAAAAACACTTTGATATACGGTACTAAATCATTTGTTTTTTAAGGTCTTTGAGAGAAATTTGTAAATTTTGTATTTTGAGGGTCAAATATGAGAATACCGCCGCCGCAGCAAACCTGCAGACTAAGCGAATTTCAACTTGTCTGATTACATTTTTACTAAAATATTTCCATAAATAAGACGTCATATTTATTCCCAATTTAGAAATTTAACGAGTGCTTAGGTTTGCTGCTACGGGGAAGGTAGAAGTGTTTTTTGACCATACATCAATAGTATAGGATGAAATCAATAAACTTCTTATGCCAATCTATGATCTCAGGTTCTTTTGTATAGTTTGATTTTTCATTTACCATTACAGATTTTGTACTTTTGACATAATAAAGACCACCCTGGCGTTCTGCTGCCACAATTACATTTCCTCTTTGGTTTTGGACGACAGCTTTCTCTTTTTCAAAAATCACTTTAAATCCTTTATCTGTTATTTTACTGACACTCATTAGATTTGTTGCCAAAGTCTGGTACAAACAGAGTGTTATTCAAATGTATGATTTCAGAATTTTTTTATTCCAGCGAAACCGTTCCTGTTCCAGAAACGTCAGATGTCTTTCCTTTAGAAGCAAGTTCCAAAATTCCGTTTGAATTTTTGATATCTCTGAACTGTAATTTCTCTCCACACATGTGCGATGTACATCCACTATCAATACACCAATCAGATGAAGTAGAACCTAAAATGTTCAAATTTGAAGAGAAACATTCAGCCTCTGCTTTGAAACTATCTCCCATTTGTTTGGATCTACAGTTATTGGCTTTGTGTCCTATTTTTCCACATCTAAAACATATAACTTTGAAACCTACTTTTGTAGTGTTGTTCTTCTCTTGTTTCTTATGACTATAAGTGTTGCGAATACCTTTCTTGGAGTTGAACTAGTTTGTTTTGCAATACAATGTATCTTCATTATTCGTACAAGTGTCTTTTGACCTAGCTTCACTCTCCTCAATTACTTTTATTTTTAAATCATTAGGAGAAGGTAAAGTGTCTCTAGACTCAATTGCTACCCAGAAATTTTCAAATGATGATGATAAGCTGTAAAGTAGCATAATGCTAAGTAAGTCTGAATTGATAATTATGTCCATTTCTTGAAGTTTGTCAACAATCTCCATAAATTTGTTGACATTATCCCTAGCATCTTCTCCATCTTTCATTTTATGAACTATTAACTGCTTTAATAATGTGGCTTTCCTTGCAGGACCAGAACTTTGGTAATTGTTCTGCAGGCAATCCCATACTTCTTTGGAAGTTTTGCAGTTTTTTACTAATTTCAATTCACTAGGTGAAATTATCAATATTAGTTCTGATTTTGCTTTAAGATCTTTAACTATCCCGGCATTCTTACCAACTTCATCCTCAGGACATTTGTTCTCTCCAGATACATATTCCATTAGGTTTTGTTGGATTAATATAGCTTCAGCTTGAATTTTCCAAGTGTCATAATTATTTCGTTTCAAAGGTTCAATTCTATAGCCAAAACTCATTTTACTTATTTTTAAGCACAGAATACTGTAAAATGATTATTTTATTATTCCAAATGGCCCATAACCTTTGTTGGTGAAATTAAAGTTAATGAAAGAATAAATTGTTATAAACTCTCTTATTTTCTTACAAACACAACACAACACTGAATTATATTTTGTAAAACAACTGCATATGTAAAATGTAAAAACATATGATGGTCCATCACTAATCCAGACTAGATGAGTTGTCAACATACTTTACTGTGATTAAAAATAGGCTTACGTTCTTTGGCCCATAGCCGAAGCTATGGCCAACACATAGGCCTAGGAGTAGGCTATTGTGGATGAAAACTGGTAAGTTACGGTGTTTGTTGAATAGCAGTACGTTTTTATCCCCGTTAAAATTTGGTACCTCACATATTACAGAAAAAGACAATGGAGCGATTGCTACGCAAACAAGAGAGTAAGCCAGTGAAGATGAGTGCCAAAGGTCGAGCAGTGAGACGCCAGGTTCCAACTGTGACTTTGACCAACAACCTGCAAGGAATTGCTATCACATTGCCTCCTGATATTGAATTTCCACTTAAACCTTTAAGGTAAGACAGCATCGTGGAAATGGTAAAAAGTAAGCGGTATTAACTGTTACCAAAATCGCAAGTAAAAGTCTGATTAAATCTCCAATCGCATAAGAATTTCCTACTTATAGTAAGAAAAAAATTTAGTAGAATTTGTTTAAAAAAAAAACAATACAACATTTTTAGAATAGAGTCATAGAACATACATAACACAATTTGTTTGTTTTTAAAATCAACCAAAGTTGATCCACTTTTGTCTCAGGCATGGCTTTTTCACCTATCACTATCAGCACAGTCATTTAATGCCTTAAAAAATGAAAAAAATCTTATAGTTCTGGAAATTGCTTTAAAATGCCCTCCTAGGTGTCTATTTTAAACAACAACAAAAAACCCATGGTGGGGGGTCAGAAAATGGCCGCCATCTTGGATTCTAGGTGCAATTTTTAGGTTTTTCCTAAATATCTCGCAAACTTTAACTTTTTGTATACTATATTAAATTAGGAAATTTAAGAAGGTAAAATAAATCCTGTAAACATGTAAAAACGTAAATAACTTAAAAGTTTTTTTGAAAAGGTTAATTATCTATGTAGACCAACATCTATTTCTGAAGCAAGGACCCATACTTAAATCAACAATGCACTTACTACTCAGAATTAACTGTATGCATGTTTTGTACCTCAATAAGTGGGATTTTAAAACAATTCAGTGCAAATGCTTCGCACGGGTCGGCTAGTATATGGGTGTTTCCAAACTTTCTCCCGAAACTTTGTGGTCATGTTCCTTAATTAAAGCTGTGAAAAGGTAACTTTTAAGGGAAATTCCTTCTTAGTCAGTTTGAGAAAACTACAGACTATTGCGTAGTGTGACAGTTTGACCGGAGTCAGCCAACTTCGCTTTGATAGTGTAGGTGCCCAAGTGAGCTACAACCTATCTTGGATAATGGATAATAATATATTTATACACCTAAAGAAAAAACAAAAACATTGTTTATCCACTGGCAATTAAGTAAAATATTCTATTTTTATATTTGGTATAGACTTTTATTATTCATCGTAAAGAACAAATTACCATTTAAAATAATAGTTGTTAAGCGCAGCAACGCATGCCGGGTAGCTGCTAGTAAAGAAATATAAAAGCTTAAAGAGTCCATGTGGTACTTACTTTTGACTTGTTCTTGTTTAGATTTCTTTAAAGTGAATAATCTGATTTCATCGATGGAGTTATTTATCGTAGAAAGCACAGATTAACTATGTTGGTCACCATGGATGAAGTAAAAACAAAACACTCAGATTTGGAAAATAAATGTTTGTTCTAATAAACGTAAACAAACATTCAGTTGGATATGTATTTTTGGACATCACTCACCTTATCGGAACCAGGAGAACACAGTCCTTGTCATGACAGTTCATTGTACACACACATTGATAAAAAATGCAAAAATAAAAATAAAATCACAGACTTAAGTTCTCTAACTCCGACATTTCGCCGCACCAATATCAACATCCGGCGGCGTTTTCAAGGTTATTTTTCTCACGTAAAAATAAATCACAACGCTCAAAACGTTTACGTGAGAAAAATAAGCTTGAAAACGCCGCATGTTGATATTGTTAAGTTTCCCTTTTTACGACTTTTTAGCCTAGAAAACATTAACAGTAAAAAGGGTATTATATGAAAAATATGAATGGATTGTAAGTTGCTAGTCTAGGAGGGAATGACTGTAAGGCAAAATATTTTAACTCCGTAGTTGAAATATTTTGCCTTACAGTATTCCTGTTATTATTTATTTGTGTATGTAAATAAATAAAAAGCCTTGTGTTCTCTTAACTAATTTTAGTAAAAACAGGGGTTTCATAAAAAAATTGGTGAGGTTTAACTGTCTGTAAAACTATTATAAGACAAATATTTCATATTAATACCCCTGCATACGGTAGCTCAAACAGTTTTGTTTACATTGATTGAAACAGCTGTGTTGATTGTTGTTCTAATCGACAACCTAAGTACTTATTCTTTTAACTAAACTTTGAGTTGTATTTTCTTTTAAACATGTTTTCCGTCAAGAAAAGGCTAAGTGTGTAGCTAAGTGAACTAAAGTCAGTCACTCTAGTATAACGGTCATTTTATGATGTCAAAAACATAGTTTATTCCAACAAAACTTGAAATTTAGCACATCTACTAGAAAGAACCAGAGATGCAGTCTCCATTGTAACAAGAGAAATATTGCTCGTGTGGGCTAAAATAATCATACTCTGGTCGACCGTAGAGCAAAAAATGGTTGACATGTTGAAGCTTATTGGCTATGTATTTAAAATCTTTTTGATGTCAGTTATTCAACAAAATAAATTGTTTTTATCTTTTCTCATTTTCTTTTTATTTCATAACTAAACCCCACTATTATTTTATTAAAACCCTGTACATAACGCACTTAACAATAGAAACTTACACCAGTACTATAAACTATTTTCTTGGGCTTTTTCCATTATATTTCGATACAAATCCTTAGGCCTACTAATTTCATCCATCATGTCACTCACAATTGTCCCTCACCTCACCGTCTACGGGAAACTAACACAAAAATAATAGCAATACAACACAACAATGAATGTTTCGATTATTTATAACCAAACACATTTTAATCTAATTATGACGACCTTGAATCAAAAGTATCATCAACAATGATATTTTTAGTAAAAGACTAAAAAGAAGAACTTTTGAATATCAACGCATGTGTCAAAAACAGTTGTTTTTAAACCAGTCTGACAAAATATTGTTTTTACAAAAAAATGGAATCTCATTTTACAAATGAAAAAGATTTCTTAGTTTGTAATAAAATAATAACTGGACGATTTTTTACAAGTAGGATACTCTAATATGTTGAAAGCACTATAAAATTAAATATTTATGGCCATTTTTTATATGCAGTAGGTTCCCCCATTATTGTTTTTGAAACACAATGGTTTATTTGACAAAAATCAAAAGCAAAACAAAGAAAAAATAGCCATAGTTAGCTTCAAGGTCAAGCTATTAGCTTGCTCTGACAATCGTCTGCTCCTTACACAACAGTCTACTGTGCGCTTTTGCTATCTCACTACAGTTTGTGATTGGGTGAATAGTAACCATGGCAACTTGTTGTATGTGTGGATGAAGAGAAACCAAAGAAAGATTATAATAACAATGAGCAGTTTGGCCCGTCCTACGTACGGGAATCGAGTAGTCCATTAAAACTATATGATTCAGAACAGCTAGTTTACAACTTGGTGACCGATTCACACACACTGGCTTTGAGTACAGTAGCTACATACCACCTTCCACTGCATAGGCCTACTATCACTTACTGTACCTTATATTACCACCTTGGCCACTGAAACCTCTAAAATGATCCTGGCCTCCCGTTCTCTTCTATCCCCTGCCATTTCTAAGGAAGATACCTTTAAAAGTTGAAGTATCTTCTCTCCGCCATGCAAAGCCTGCCTAGCCCATCCGAGATCTGAGCCTTTTGGAATGTACCCCTTTATCAAGTTTCTGAATCATACAGTACTACTGGGATAGTTATGATATGGTATGAATCGATTTTGGGTTCTACTGACACCCTGCAGCTTACTGGTCAGTTTTCTGGAGACCTACTACACCGGTTGACATTTTCATGTGTACTGTATGCAGTCATACTTATATTCAAACATTTAGAAAAAGATGTATCAACACGTAAACCACTTATATCTTAAAGGATTAGACGGATTGCATTTATGACAAAACTTGATTATACGTTTAAAATGTTTAGTTCAAAATTACACAATCTCCTGATAACATAGATCTTTTACGGTAGGTAATAAACTGCATTTTAAAGTGAAATAGTGTGTAGGCAAACTCTGAATCAATATTTTTGTTTACAAACAACTTGTAACATAAACATTTCAATGACAGTTAGAAACCAGCTGTTAGTTAAACCACCACTAAAACGACTTTAACTCTTCCGTCGGCTGCTAGACTTAAAAAAAATTAAAACGTAATTTCTAAAAAACTGGGACCTTAAACTAAAATTATGGCTCCGACATTCCCTAGTTCTCAAAATTATCTTTCTTTCAACACAAAAATCATGAAAATCCGTCGAGTGGTTGATTCAGAATCGTGAAATAAAAAAACACTGTTTTGTTTTAATATTATAGATGAGAAAGAACGTCATCCATTGTTATCTTTATCCTATTTTACAACTGTTGTTATTATCTTTAAGACTAATTACTATGATTTTATGCAGTTTTATGAGTTATCTAATGTTTTTATAGACATTCTTATGTCTAATTTTCTGAAACAACGTGTAGTAGTAGCCTATGCTGACTACGGTAGCAGTAGCTTGCAGTACAGTGCTAGACTGTCTATTGTTCAGTTTTTTTACGTCATTTATTGCTGTACGTACAGTGTTGTGTAATTTTTGTTTTGCTTGAGTGAGCGTGATTTTAAATGTTAAACGTTAGCAGTTTTTATTATTGTTAATGACATAACAATCACGATTGTGCAATACTATTTTTTGTATTTTAATTATGTAAAATGCAAATTATTTATCACATTACCATCCATTTTATACAGTATAGGTGTTTTTATGGGTATTATGTTTATGCCATATTGGCTTTCAGTTATCCATGGTCTCCCTCGCCTGGGTTGATCGCACTGCCTGGCTATTCCGTTTTCAGAAACGATCGCTTAGGAAAAACAGGTGGCGGCGTTGCCGTTTATGTAAAGGACGGTTTGCAAGCCAGGCAGTTGTACGAGTCCCCGGGTGAGTACTCTGCTAAACCCAAATTAATTTTTTTGGAAATTCGTTTGTGTGGTTCGGATGCTCTTCTCCTGGGGACATGTTACCGTCCTCCAGGAGTGGGGCATTTGGCCGACTTTGAAAATACTCTCTTGCGCTTCATGCCAGGCTACAGTCGTGTCTTGATCATGGGTGACTTTAACTGTGACTTACTCAAACCTTGACGTTACGATTGCAGACAATTGTCAAACATGTTTGACTCTTGCAACATGACGATACTACAACTGGACTCGACCCATCACACTGCTGAAGCTGACACCCTACTAGACCTTATTATTATAAGTGATCCCGAATTTTCAGTCCACCATGGCCAGCTTCCAATCCCTGCCATTTCTCGACATGACCTAATTTATTGTGCCCTTGCCACGAGAGCTCCCAAGCCCAAACAAAAGCTTATCTCTTACAGAGATTTTAGAAATTTTAATGAAGCAAATTTTTTGTCTGATGTAAATTTAACACCTTGGCACTCCATACATACCCTGGAGTCAGTTGATGATATGGTGGATTCACTTAATGAAACCATTTTAAAATTATATGACAAGCACGCTCCAATTGTCAACCTTAGGGTTAGTAAAAGTCGATCCGTTCCTTGGATTAGTGAGGAGATCATTGGCTTAATGGCTCGGCGGGACTCAGTCCATCGCAGAGCCAAAAGAACTAGGGATCAGGGGCTCATGGCCCACTACCGCCAGCTTAGAAATAAAGTAAAACAGCATTTACGTAATGCTCGACTCCAATATTTTCATAGATTGTTTCCCGAAGGAAAACAATCCTCTGCTGCTTGCTGGCGTAATCTAAAACGTTTTGGATTTGGAAAGCAAGTTAAAGTTGTTCCCATATCAATTCCCTTGAACGATTTGAATAATTATTTTTTATCAATTTCATCACAGACAAACGGTACAATAATTCAGAACCATTTAACTGAGTTAAAATTACGTCTCTTGCCAAATTCCATCACTAAATTTAACTTGAAGCCAATATTGCAAATTGATGTTTTGAAGGCTATAAGGCGGTTAACGTCTGACGCCACTGGTTCTGACAGAATCCCAATTTCTTTAATTAAACGAATCTTGTTTGCTCTCCTTCCAACATTAACTTTCATATTTAATACTTCACTAAGATCAGGTATTTTCCCAGAAAAGTGGAAGTCTGCGCTTGTCCGTCTCTTGAATAAAATCTCATCCCCATCTCTCCCGCAAGACTACAGACCAATTAACATTCTTCCCGCCCTTTCTAAAGCACTAGAAAGAGTCATTCACTCTCAAGTTTCTGATTTCTTGGCACAAAATAACATCCTCAATAGCTTTCAATCAGGTTTTCGTAAATCATACAGCACTGAAACAGCAATGCTTCATGTAACTGATGACATACGACTTGCTATGGATCGCAGCCAATGTACTATCTTAACATTATTTGACTTCAGTAAAGCCTTCGATACCGTAAACCATAGCATTCTTCTAGCTAAACTCCAACTTTTAGGTTTTTCTGATAATTCACTAAAATGGATGAGATCATATCTTCAGAGCCGAAAGCAGTGTGTGTGTCATGACAACTTGACGTCCGACTGGAGACATGTTCCCTGCGGAGTTCCCCAGGGTTCAATTCTTGGTCCTCTGCTTTTCACCATTTACATCAATAACATCAGTACAGTTCTACACCATGTAAAGTTTCATTTGTACGCTGATGACTTGCAAATCTATTCTCATTTTAAAGTGAGCAATGCAAATGAAACTATACAATTGATGAACCATGACATCGACAGAATTGTTCAATGGGCAGAAAGGAATGGACTTAGACTCAATCCTGACAAGACAAAGCCAATCATCATAGGTCACTCACGGTTACTCAACAAAGTGGACTTAGACATTTTACCAAAATCACTGTAAATGGAACCACTTTGCAATACCAGGACAAAGTAAAAAGTCTTGGTTTGACTTTAAACCGAACATTGGACTGGACTGACGCGGTGGTAAGCACTTGTAAAAGAGTGTTTGCCGCTGTTCACACGCTGAAGAAGATGCAACGACTTCTACCTTTTCACATTAATCTCTTACTGGTCAAATCACTCGTGTTATGAGCCAGCGCTCGGAGTGTACGGTTGCCCTGCCGGTCGGTCAGATGCCACTGATAAGGTATTGATAAGCTATTCCTGCTCATTTAATGTTTATGTTTTTGGCTTCCCAAATCCAACTCTTTTAAGTATTATCTTGTTAAATAAATTCAGTTCTCAGTGCGTCCTTCATTTAAGTGTTTTATATAGTTTTTGTTCGGTGTTGCTAAATAAAATGTCTGAAAAGTGTAAGAGCTGCCAAAAAAACATCACAAATCGGCATCCTAAAGTGCAGTGCAAGGATTGTTTATTACATTTTCATGGATCTTGTGTAAATATATCAAAAGAAGATGCAGAATTCATGCAAAAAGAAAAGCAAATATGGAGATGTGATGGTTGTAGTAAGGAGCGAAGAAAAAGTATGCAGGTCGAATCAAAACTTGAAGAAAATAAGCCAGACATCCAAGATGTTATCAACCTACTCAAGGAACTAAGAAAAGAAAATAAAGACCAAATAAAGAACCTGGAAACCGAACTTGGTAAATCGGTGGAAAACTGCCATGAAACCATTGAGGACCTAAGGAGAACAGTTCAAAAACAGACTGAGTCTTTAAATAAATTTGAAAAAATGTTTGATTCTTTGTTTGAAGAAAATAAAAAACTACACCTACGCATAAAGGAACTTGAGCGGCGTGAAGATGAGTCAAACCAGTATTCTCGTATAAATTGTATCGAGATAAATGGAATACCCGAGATTGAGAAAGAAGATGTTTTAGAAGTGGTAAAAAGTGTTGGAAGAAGCTTAGACGTAGCATTAACGGAAGAGTCAGTGGATGCGTGTCACAGACTTGGACCTAAGCACAGAAGTGGAATCCAGCCCCGAGGTATAATAGTTAAGTTTACCAGAAGAATCAAAAAGGAAGAGTTCCTAAAGCAGAGAAGAGTTAAGCGTGATCTCAATACACATGACGTTGGCTATGTTGATCATCCTGCTGAAATTGTCTACATTAATGAAAGTTTGACCAAAGCAAGACGTGAAGTTTACAAGGAAGTCCGAACTCTAAAGAAAACTTATAAATACAGCTACGTATGGGTGAGAGGTGGAACGATCCTCGTACGACCAACGGAAGGCGCTAGAATAATTGCAGTCACTACAATGGAGGACTTGGAGAAGCTACCAAGACATGCCCCTGAACCTGCACCTGCGCCAGCGTCGCCGAATTCATCTGATTCTCAGGATGCGGCCTCCTCCGAACAGTAAACAGTATTATTTTCTTGGTGTTACTTTTTGTCTTTTGTGTTTTTGGTCTTTTATTCAGAAATGGAAGTGCAATTGTACATTAAGGTTTAATCATTCAAATGAATAGTATTAGTTTTAATAATCTTTGTTCAAATGATATCGTAGTGTTACAGCAAAACATTCGTAGCTTAAGGAAAAATTTTGATTCTTTTGTCTCGGAATTACATTCCATTGATCAAATGCCAGATATTATAATTTTAACAGAGATTTGGATTGATACAAGCGAGGTAAATTTCTACAGCCTACCTAATTATTCAATGTTTGTAAAATGTAACTCTAATCAAAGATCAGGTGGAGTAGTTGTATTTGTGACTGATAAGATAACAGCTATCCAGTTGGACAGCACAAATATGATAACAGCTGATTGTGTGCATTTAAAAATATCCTTAATCGCCAATAATTCCTTTGAAATCTTGGCGATTTATAGATTACATGAATTCGCCGCGGACAATTTCGTTGATGAATTAGATACAATACTAGCATTAATTAAAACCGCTAACTTAATGATAAATGGAGATATTAATATTAACATTATTGATAAATCAATTTTATGTGATAAATACTTAATTAGAATGGCCAGTCATGGTCTAAAGTCACTAATCAATGAGCCCACCAGGGTTACAAAGCTAACAAAAACATGTATTGACCATGTCTTTTTACGAAGTAAACTTAACAGTAATTTCATTTGTGAAGCCCAAGTAATCAAAACATGTATAACCGATCATTGGTCAACTGTAGCTTGTATGAGGTACAATAAACCGGTTCAAGTTAAGGAAAATAGTAAAACCAAACAATTTTCAAAACTGGACATTGCACATTTGAAAACAGTTGTAAGCAAAACAGATTGGAGTTCGGCCTTTTCAACAAATTCAGCTTCGACTTCCTTTGATTATTTTTCACATAAACTACAACATTGCATTAATGAGTCCTATAAAATTATAAACATAAAATCAAACTTTAAAAACCCTTGGATGAATGCAACTATAAAACATAATATTAAAATTAAAAACAAACTTTATAGAGATTTCTTGAAAAAACCAAATGACCCAACATTAGAACAGAGATACAAACATTTTAAGAATTTAGTTATAAACCAAATAAGATATGCGAAAAATAAGTACTTTTCAGACCAGTTAGAAAATAACATGAAAAATAGTAAAAACCAATGGAATTTGATAAAAGAGTTAACAGGTGCAAAGCATAAAGGTAGTACCCCAATTGTACTAAGAAATGAAATCGGGCAATTGATTGACAACCCCGATGAGGTTACGAATACCTTAAATAACTTCTTTTGCTCAGTGGCTGATGACTTGAGGAACGAAATCTTGTTCGATAAGGCAAACATCAATAGTGTATTTGACCCTTACAGGAATACCTTTGAAAGGACCTCAACTAAAGATTCAATTTTTCTTTACCCAACGTGCGAGGAGGAAATAATGAAAGTTATAAATTCATTAAATGATAACAAAGCACCAGGTTATGACAATTTAACTCCTAATATAATAAAAACTATAGCTAATTCCATTGTACATGTTTTAGCCTACATTTTTAATTTAAGCTTAGCAGCTGGGGAATTTCCAGTTAAATTGAAAAAAGCAGTCGTTACACCGTTAT